TTTTTTTTTTTTTTTTTTTGTCTAAAAAAAAGCAAAGAAAAAATTTCTATTCCCTTTCCCACGTGCAGTTCACGTGGCCAGCCTCTTGGTCCCTTTGGATAGGCGTGTTTTGATCCAGGCTCACACAAAGCCCCTTGACCACCTCTCCAGTTTAAGCAGCAGCTGCTGCCTGAGTCTCTTGTAAGTGGAATATGCACCAGCCTAACCAGAAGGCTTGCTGTAGGACCCACCTCAAGGCCCCTCCCTGGCTTCCCAGGGCCTATCTCTGGCATCAACAAGACAAAGGTGCCTTAGCCTCTTCACGTACAGTCTCACTTCTCCCTCATTTTCATCTTGTGTCACAAGGCCAGTCTGAGCCACAGTTGCACGGAAACCCTGGGAAACACATAGCACCTCTTCCTGAAGTGGTTTCCTGACATTTCCAGTGGTCTGCACATACCCCTACTTTCTCCTCCCTCAGCCAACAAATAAAGGCTACACACGCTTAAAGGGAAGGAACCAGAGATAATTCTGTTTCTTCCGTCCTTTTCCCCCAGCTGGCATGGATTCTTGGTGCATAGATTCATTCCCTTTAAAATGTAATTTTAGAAATGTCAAGCTGATTTTGAGTTCTGGAAGAGTGAGAACAGCATCCATCAGCTTCAGAATTAGAAATGCACCAATTTAAGAGGAACCAACACTTTCTGTTGGAAGTTTTTGCCCGAGAAAATGTGATCTGCTAGATGCTGACAGCCCTGGGAGCTCCAGGGGCCAGTGGGTATGAAGTCAAGGTTCATCCCATATGCATGAGCCAGCTTTTACAACTAGTGTGAGGCCAGGGCTGAGGCCCCAAGGGTGCCATGTGAGGCTGCCCAGCCATCTGGGTGAAGATGCACATGCCAGGCCTCTCTTGCCTTCTGCTCAAGCTGCAGCCCAAAGCCAGCTAGCTGAACTCCATACCAACCTTTCTCAAAGGCTGCTATAAAAAGATGCCTCTCTGGGAGCTAGTTCTGGCAATGTCTCAGAGTTAAATATGAACATTTTGATTTTGCCAATATATCAAAGTTGTACCTGTCTTTGTGATTACCTAGTGCTCTCCAAAACAGGCAATGGCACTTAATCCTCTGCTTTGATTTAAACCGCCTTCCCAGTCCTCTGGAGTGGTGGCACCACTCACAAGGCAGTGACGGAGTTCTTTCCAGCTTTGATGGAAAGCAGACTTCGGCTGTTTGGAGACAACTTCAAATGATCGGCAGGATTGCTGAAAATGCTGCATTGAGAAGGATTCAGATAAATGAGCAATGTTAAATGAGCAACATTCATGGCACACGTGGGGCAGGGAGAGTAGCAACCAATACAGCCTTTTACCTTGTCTTTCATGGAGCTTTTAGAGTTAACTATTTTTAAATAAAAGTAATCAAAACCTGGAACCTTAAGAAAGGGGCATGAATGGATTAGACAAAATTCAAAGAGCACATCATTTTTTCAAGTTCTTTATATATCCTATGTAATAATCCTCTGTTTGAGGAAGAGTTGGCAAATATTTTTCTCATTCTGTAAGTTTTCATTTCACTCTGTTGGCTGTTTCATTTGTTGTACATAGCTTTTTAATTTAATATGATCCCACTTATTGATTCTCAGTACTATTTCCTGAGCAAGCAGGATTCAGTTCAGAAAGTCCTTGCCTACACCTATGACTTCAAGCATTTTATCCATTTTGTTTTGTAGCAGGTTAAGCTTTTCTGTTTTAACATTTTTAGGTCCCTCAAAATAAAAGAACTAATGCAAAAATGGACAAGTAAAATGAGTAGAGACTTCACAGAAGTTTGGATGGCCAATAAATACATGAAGAAGTGTTCAACGTCACTTGTCATTAGAGAAATGCAAATTAAAACACCACCAAGATTCTATCTTACCCCAGAAACAATGATCATCATCAAGAAATCAAATAACAAATGCTGGAGAATCTTTAGAAGAAAAGGAACCCATCTGTGTTCTTTCTGGCAATGTAAACTTGTACAACCACTACGGAAATCTTCAGAAAAGTAAAACTAGAAGTTCCATTTGACCCAGCTATTCCTCTTCTAAGTATCTTCCCAAAAGAATTAAAGGTATTATATTACCATGATACATGCACAGCCATGTTTATAACAGCACAATTCATAATAGCTAAATCTTGGAACAGCCTTATATGTCCATCAACAGATGAACAAATGTGGTTATTTATATCCAAAGAAGTTCTACTCTGCCATAAAGAAAGATAAACGAGTCATTTGTAGGAAAAACGGATGCACCTTTAGACAATAACGTTAAGTGAAATAATTCAGATACACAATTGTAAATATCACATGGTTTCTTTAATATGAGAAACCCACATTATTACTAAAGACCAAAATAAACATAATAGGAGCTAGGAAGATAGAACTCTCTCAAATGGGAAGGGAATCAAGAGACGGAGGGAGGCGGGCAGTGACTGGAGGGAAAGGAAATGACAAAAGGAATTAAAATTATTGTTTATGTACCAACTCCATACAAGGACTGTAAACTTTATGTGCTGTAGAAATATAAAAAAGCACTCCATTACAGAAATTTGGCCCAGTTCAAACTGACTTAAACAACAAAAGTATGGAAGTGGACCTACTTGTTCAGATATCTGTAAAATCATGGTGAAAGCTTCAGGCACACAAGTATCTAGGGCAGTGATAATGAACCTCTTAGAGATCAAGTGCCCAAGCTACAACCAAAAACCCATTTATTTATCACAAAGTGCCAACACTGCAATTAAACCTGAGTACTGAGGTTTTAGTGTAAAAAAACCAACTCATACATTCGGCTTGTGTGCCAGCAGAGAGGCCTATGAGTGCCCACATGTACCATTGGTTCATCACCACTGATCTACAGACTCAGTTGATGTCCTCAACAGCTGTCTGCTGTTCTGCTCCCAGCTCTGATTCTCTACATGTCTTCATGCTGATGCACTGCCTTCCCACAAGGAGGTTGAACGGCCACCGGCACCACCAGCCAGGCTGGGTACTGAGACTGCTTTGGGTCCTGTGTTCACTGCTCGGTCACTGGGATCAAGGGGTGGAGAGGGTGGAAAATATGCTGTGTGTTCATCCTCTCATGTGCCCATCCCTGGAGTCAACCCTCAAGGAAGAAGAAAAGAGAAGCAATAGTTCTGGGCAAAACAGATACTATTACTAAAGGAAAAAAGAAGGGATGCTAGGCAGGGTGCTGCAGTAGGCAGATGCTCCAGCTTCTACTGGAATCACTTTGGGGAGAGACTTGACTAATTTAGACCCTCATCTCCTGCTAGAACTGCTGTGTTCTCCAGAAAGCCCCCCTGCAGGAGCCCTTTTGGATGCCGCCTATAGGCAGGACTTATGCAGAAAGCTTGAAACTCGCAGGAGCCTGCTAAGACCTGGACATTTCAGTTGGACTTCAAGGCATTAAAAAGGGGGACTTTTGCATCCAACACAGAGCCTGAAGACCAAAGAGTCATCAGAAAATAATCTCAAAGTCAGTGGAAAACCAGAACTAAAACCTATATTGCCTGATTCTC